ACTGAAATTATGAATTACCAAACGGGGTCAAAATTCACTATAAGTTTGTTTCCACATACTTGTTTGTTTTTACACCTATAATGCTAATTTAATCTCTATTCAATTATATATATTGTCAAATTGTTTGTGGTATTGGAAACATGTGTTTGGAGAATGGTTCTACTTATGTTATTGATATGTCAATGAACGTCTATTTTGTGGTGAAACACTTTGCTATTTTTGTTATTGGCTATCAAATAATGTTAATCGCTATTTTAGTTTGTTATTTAGTTGATAATTAAATAAAGTATTTAGGGTATATTTTGAGAAATAATAATAACAAGTATATATTATAATGTGTTTGTATTAATAACTGTGATGTTATAAATGTATTATTTTGTAATATTTAATGACTAATTTGTCATTTAAAATTGTTAATTATTTCCTAAAATAGAAATGAGAACATTCTAATAAACGTCCCAAAAAAAAAGTGAAAATCTTCTAATCGGAAAAATAAGACAAAAATGACCATTTTCCCGCTCAAAGCAACGGGTCAATACAAGTGGGCTTTTGGAGATCTTTGAAATAGACTGACCAAAAGTACAATGCATTTATTTATTGAGTAATCTGACGCGGGGTGGGTTCATGGTGTGCACGCCGGCAGGGTAATAGCAATTATATGCAGCAATTCAACAGCTTTTTAAATGCCCATTTATTGCCACTAAACGATGATTGGACTTTAGAGTTATATATATATACGTAGTATCGGTCTTGGAAATGCAAGCAGAAAAGTTGGGTGAATTGCACCATATCCCTCTCTCTGTTATAGTGTTATACAATACATGCATACTATCTCCTTGGGAATAAGGGTCAGTTTGGTCCTCAAAGTTGCAAAAAAGGGGTCAAATAAGTCCTTATATAGAAAATTCTGTCCGGACGTGTCATTTGAGGTGGCTCCCGGTGGAATTTTTTGATTAAATTTTTTGAGCATCTTATTCATTAAGTCTAGTTTACTCATACCAAATTTCAGATAAAAATTCAATCGGGAAGACATTCAAATGAATTTTTGAAGATAAATGTGCCGTTAGAAGCGCAGATATCTTCAAGAATTCATTTGAATGTCCCCCCAGTTGAATTTTTAGCTGAAATTTGGTATGCGTAAACTAGACTTAATGAATAAGATGCTCAAAAAATTTCATCAAAAAATCCCACCGGGAGCCACCTCAAATGGCACGTCCGGACAGAATCTTCTATATAAAGACTTATTTGACCCCTTTTTTGCAACTTCGAGGACCAAACTGACTCTTTACCCTATCTTCTTGTGTGTTTTAAAACCAAAAAACTATTGTTACACATTTTTTGTACACACACTTACACACTCGTGTTTGTGAAGTGTTTTTTTTTTCTGTATACAGACACAACGCATTTGAAGTGTCTGTGAAATAAGTTGTGTCTGTATACAGACAAAACAAAACACATCACAGACACGAGTGTGTAAGTGTGTACAAAAATGTGTACCTCAAGTCTTGTTGTTTTTAAAATACACAAAACCCACTTATGTTTTATAAAACGTTGCATATACTATCCACAATGATGCACGTGTGATGCACTTGCTTTTTGCTGCGACTTGTTGTAGAATTTTATAGGGGTGAGCATAAAACCCGAACCGAACCGGTACCGAACCGGTACTGAACCGTCTCGTAATGGTACCGAACCGAATAACGGGTATTTAAATGGTTCTATATATTTTTGTCTCGTACCGAAACCGTACCGTTTGAAACAGGTACAGGACCTGTCCTAGATTTTGAGAACCGAAAAATACCGGACCGAACCGTTTGAAAATAATGCACTTGAATTTTTTATATTTTTTCTATACCAATTCAATAGATCTCTTTTATAGACCAATAATTTTATAGCTCAAGTATGTATTTATGCGTCCTTAAAATAGCTAAATGTGTGTGTTTATATATATAACATATATTATTGTTTTTTCTTTTTAGATAATTTATGTTATATTTTGGTATGTATTGAAAGAATATTAAAATTTTAGAGAAATCGTTAATGACTTCATTTCTAGTAATGCTATTGTACATGACTTTTTGTTGTATCATGTATGTGCAATTTTACAACTTAATTAATATGGTTTAAATTTTAGCTCTCAAGGTTCAACTATAAATAAAATTAGAACAATGGAGTATTATTTAACCTAGAATGAAGAAGAAGAACGTTGAGGATTTCTATTATATTCAACAATTTGATGATTTTTTTTTATATTTTTACATGAATTAAGTAAATTAAGGATGCTATTTATCTCATGCGTCATCGTTTTGCTATACTCTTTCTTAGTTGTGTTGCACTATTTGTTTATTTGTGAATTTGATGATATATGCAATTTCTTGTATTTATATCAACATTTCTTGTGAGTTGGTTGGTGTGATGATATCTAATAATTGCAAAATTTGTTCAAATTTTTTAGCATGTGTTTGGCATTGTACCGTACCGTTTTGTACCGTTCCGAAATGACATGATACCGAATGGTTCCATTCTTGAAACCGGACCGTACCGGACCATTAAAAACCTGTTAATGTCAATTTTAGCACGTGTGATGCACTTGCATACCAAAATTATTTTAGCACTTATAGCATTATACGTATTGCACTTTATTTACAGATCTTAGAACTTATTATTAGTTCTATTGAAGAGGTGTTTTGGTAATTATTTATAATCAAACGTTTGAAATAGAAGTTGTGGTTCTTGTTTTGGAGCAAGAAACGTACTTAGATGCATCCAGGCTAGACCTGTACAAAACCGGGCCGGCCCTCCCGGCCCGCCCAGCCCGCCCGCACAAATTAGCGGGCTTGGACATATATATTTACCCACCGGCCCGGCCCGGGCCCGGGCCGCAACAACATATGGGCGGGCTTGGGTTAGGGTGTAGGCCCGTTCGGGCCGATAAGCCCGGCCCGCTACATTTAGGGCTTGTTTGCAATCAATTAAAAAAAGTGATTTTGGCTTTTTTTTAAAGAAAAAAGCACTTATTTTGCCAAACACTATCAACTTTTACTTCCTCGGTTTTCGTGTAGAATCTACTTTTTACTTTTTCTATTACACAAAAAGCACTTATTTTACCAAACACTACCAACTTTTACTACTAATCACTTTTTCTCAAAAAGTGCTTTTATTTAAGCACAAGTGGTTGTAAACAGAGCCTTAGTATATATACATATATACGGAGTATATTTTTATATATACTAATTTATGTATTTATTTACATGTACACTTGTATATTTTCATATTTACTAATTTATCTGTATACATATTTATAGTTTATTATGTTTAAATTTATGTTTTTAATTCTTAACAAATAGTCCAACCAATATAATGTCTATTTTTGTACTTAAAGATAATACTTTGTGCATGAATTTTAAATTTTAGATATAGTTTCTCATTATTATTTTTGTGTAAATATTTTTTGTGTATGTGATGAAAGGCCTATATACATTATAAGTGTATTAGCAATTTTTTAAATGTTGTAATATTATTTATAAAGTATTAAATAAATTACATAATTTTGAAAAATTTAAAATTTTACCGGGCCCGGCGGCCCGGCGGACTACCCAGCCCGCTCTTACGGGCAGGTATGGACATGGGGTTAGGCCCATTTTTGCGGGCCGGGCCCGCCCACACACGATGGGCAGAAAACTTATGGAAAGCCTGGCCCGAGCCCGGCCCGAACCCGCTTTTGTGCAGGTCTAATCCAGGCCAATGACCTACGATTTGGGTGCAACGAATTACAAAGCATGGGTAGAGTAAAAGAAGGATAGATCAGTAATTGCTTCTCCAAACAGTACAATAATAACTTTCAGCCGAAAAAGGAGGTCCTCCCTTACTTTTTTGGCTGAAAATAAAGATAAGCCATAAGAGCCCATCTCATGAGTGTTTGGCATATTTTTTTTTTTTTTTTTTTTTTTTTTTTGCATTTTAAGGCTTTTCAGCCATTTTTTGATCCTCCAGACGGCCACTAAGGGAGTGTTTGCGGTTACTTGTGCTTTTTAAAAGTGATTTTTTAAAGAGATTATTGGAAAAGTGATTTATAGTAAAAGTTGGTAGTGTTTGAGAATAGAAGTGATTAAAGTGAAAAAGTAAAAGTTGAAGTGTTTGATAAAAAAGTAATTATTGATGTAAAGTTTTATTGAAGTACAAGAACACCCCTAAATAAATTTTGAAGTCCATACATCTCATTCACTGAATACTCAAAATCATTACCCATCCCTAGCCTCTGATTTGCACGACAAAGACGACGGTAGAGAATTCTCCTCAATTCTTTCCGATGCAAACACCTTTCTAATTGGATTAGTTCTCCAGATTTTGATTTAAAAAGGGCCTGCAATTAGTTCTCACTCACCATTCCAATTGTACTCATGAAAGGCATTTTAGAAACAAAAAATGGAGCAAATGTCTGAAGCCTGTGATTTTGAACTGTTGAAATTTTGCAATTGAAACCTCCAATTTTTTCATGTACTCCAAATTCTCTCTCACAGAGTAGAATTATTAAGATGCTCTTGTGTCATCCTTCACTAGTTGAGAAAGGGCGAAGGTAGAAAGATGTAAAGCATGAGTTTAATATAATACTTCGTATATACTATTAGGGCGCAAGCATGAGTTTAATATAATACTTCGTATATACTATTAGGGCGCAAAGAACTATGGAGGGGGAGAAGAAGCTGGTGCAGAGAACTATGGAGGGGGGAAGAAGCTGATGCAGGGAACTATGGAGTTCATCAGAAGATTGGAAGAGTGAAGGGTATGTTGGGGTTAAGTTAAATAATTGACCATTATAACTGCAACTAGAGTTGGGAGTTATTTACAAAAAACCTAGAAACTGTTAAAAGCACTCCTACCCCAACTTCCGGCTTTTGACTTTAAACTGCTTCTTTAAAGCAAAAGTTAGAATTACCAAACACCTTTTTGACTTTTTTTTATCCTAAAAGCTCCAATGAAACCAGGTAGAATTTGAAGGGACGGAAAGAGCACAATGTAATAACCACGAAACATCAAAATACGTTCATTGTAATCGACTAATTGTACAGACAGAAATTGTCCTAAATAAGAGCAAAAACGTTTTGAAATTCCAAAATAGGAGTATCATGTTTTTTATTCCCTGAATAGAAATAATCTGCCAAGTTTGGAAAAAAATGTCATGTTAAAAGCCTTGTAATGCCAAACTTGGCAGAAATTTATTTTGGAATTTCAAAACATTTTTACTCATATTTAGGGAATTTTCTCTTGTACAAATAGCCCTTTGAGTCAATACAGGTTATGCAGCCAGCTGAATATTACCCCGTAATACCTAAACTTTGATTAGAAAACCCAATCCATTCATCTCGCAACGCTTCAAATCGATGAACCAAAAACAAAAAAGATGAACCAAATACTCCATATCTGAGATGGCAAAAGGAAAGGTTCAATGGCTCGTGCTAGAGAAGCTAGATACATATATTCAAATCAAGCCCTGAGGACGAGGAGGAGAGTGGAACTATGCCGGATGTTGTAGTCGGCAAGCGTCTTACAGTCCTCCAGTTGCCTTCCCCCGACGATGAGGCGCTGCCGGTCAGGCGGATAGCCTGCCGAATCCTCTATTTGTTCCTTCAATTCACCAACAGTGTCCGATGATTCGACCTCTAAGGTAACCGTCTTCCCCCTCAGGGTGTTCACAAAGATCCGCATCGACGACGACGAAGACCACGCGCCTCCGGTTCTCTTCCGCCGCACGCTCCTTGAAGCACGCGCCCTGGGGTTGCAGCCCTCAGCATCTGGTGCTCTGCTCTTTCCAGTGGCAGTGGCATACACATGAAGGGGCTGGGAGAGATCCACCGACTTCAAAAACCACCGCCACGATCGATCATCAGTGAGCGGAATAGAGACGAACACCAACTTCTCTCCGTCCACCCTCGTCGCGTACTTCCCGAACAGATCCAAACTCGTTTCCTCTTCGTCGGTGTTCATCGCCGAATGCACCTCCGCCACGAGATCTTCGTGGCCACTGTGGCGACTCAAGAAACGCATCGTTTTTGGCGGATCTGAATAATCCACAGACCCGAGATCTCCTCGCTTTATCATTTCCCCGCCCCAAAACAACAAAGCCACAACTTCTTCCGCATTGCCTCCTGCGCTCATTATTGGTTAGGAGAAAAAAAAAACAAAGTGTAAAAGAAAACAAAACGCATCTACTCCGTAATTAAGTAAATGTCTTGCCTGCCATCTTCCCTTCGATCGATTTCACCTTGTACTGTCTTACTCGGAGTCAAGGTAAAATTATGCATGGTGCTAAAAAAGGAAATGTGTATTTATATAGAGAGATCCCAACAAAGTAAGGGGTATTTGGATCTGATTCTTAAAACTGCTTTTGCTTCTTCAGGGACCAGAAGCAGAAGCTGAAGTGTTTGGGTGAAAGTGCAGAAGTGATTCTGGTGCTCTAATTTACTCCTAGAATCAGTTTTTTTAGAAGCTGAGGGTGACCACCTTCTAAAAACTGATTCTGAATCTGCTTCTACTTTAAAAAAGAAGCAGAATCAGAATCAGTTCCAAACACCCCCTAAAGCGTGTCTTTTATTAAGGGACGGATGAAGTATTAAAATGTTCCGGTAAGGATACTTAACTTTGAACGATGATACGATAGTATGTTTTAATACAAAATTATTTTGAACATAAAAATTGTACTCGTATTAAAATGTTCCTCATTCAAAATACTTTTATGAAATTTTTTATGAAAGTATAAAATTTATAAATTATATACAAATATAATAATTAAAATTATTATTTAAAGTTTGTCATCATTGACCAAGAAAAACGAATCACTCTGTGGTGGATAGTCTACCCGGGGGGTATCTTATCCGAGGGGTTATTGCGGAAATAACTAGAGAGAAGTCAGAGCAAATAGGAGGAGAGAGAGTCGATTTTATTAAATGAACTCAGCGTGGAGTTGAGATGTAGATTGTGTCGATTACAAGGAGAAATGGGCTGCTATTTATAGCAGCAATAAATGCGATGAGAGGACACGTGTCAGTAATCCAACGGCCGAAGGGTCACATCAGCCTAGTGGCACCGGCAGTGGTACGTCAACCGCATTGAATGCGGTTGGCGGATGCGACGTGGCATTAAATGCGGTGGTTGGCTGTCTCTAAAAGGAATCTTCGATGATTGAGCTAGTTCAGCCGTAGGCTTCTTGCGTAGCCGAGGGCTCCTTGTGTAGCCGAAGGCTTGGTTGAGCCGAGGGATTCCCCTGGTGCCGAGGGCTCCATAGTGCCGAGGGCTCCATAGTGCCGAGGGCTCCCGTTTTCTGTCAATTTCTCCCAGTAGCTTCGCATGGTCGAATATGGCGGTTCTGTGAGTTCTGGAGCCTTCGGCCAAGGTGGCCGAAGGCATTCCTGTGTGTACCGTGGCCTTCTTGACGCTTGGGCCGCCGAATCTTGGGCCTCCTGAGCTCCTTGAGCTTGTTGGGCTTGTGATAGATTAGTGGGAGTCTTTGGGCCGGGGGTTCCTGGGCCATATACTCCATCAGGAGTCCCTCACTCCTTTTGCCGAAAGGTACTTGAGGGAAAAGGAGTAGATGTGATGATTCTTCCGGGGGCTTCATCGCCTGTCTGGGTGCCTTTGTTTGAGAACTTGTCTTCTGTTGATTGCCGAAGGCTTCCCTCAGTCCCTCACATGTCGAGGGTTTTCTGAGGGAAGGTACTCGTAACCTTCGTATGTTCGCCGGGGGCTCCCCCTCAGTCCCTCACACGTCGAGGGTTTTCTGAGGAAAGCATAGATGTCTTGTCTGCATGTATTGTGATGTTTGCCCGGAGGCCGTATGCGTCCATTGTAAATTGTTGCATGAAGAATTTTTTGTTGTGTATGATCCCCGAGGGGTGTATCCCAGTCCCCCACTCCTTTAGGCCGAAGGCAAGTTCGGGCTGAAGGAGTTATAATAAGTCGATGAGAACTCGAGGGGTGATAGTTCTGACAAGTCGGGGGCTTATGCTGCCGCAAGCTCGAAGGCGTTTGATGAAATTTGCTGGCAGAAGGGTGTGGTGAACGATAGCCGGAGGCTACCACTCGGGGGCACCCCTAGTGTAACCAAAATATAGTCGTTGTAATATAGCCGTTGGAAGAAGAGCTGACGTGGCATGCCTCCGTTGGTCGAAGGTGGGCGGGTGCCACCCATTGGTTGAGGCGAAGGTTTGTAATGATGGGTTTTTCCAATCGAGGCCCATCTATCGAGGCCCAGAGTCTATAAATACCCCTGGGCGGAGCTCATTTCCTTTACGCATTCCTTCTCTCTAGCGAAGCTCTGCCAAAATTTCTAGTGAGAGAGAGACCTTTTTTCGATCAAAGCTAACTTCCCGAGGTCAGTTCTTGCTCTGTTCTTGAATTTCTCTGTATACTTTGCTTTTCGGCTTTAGATTTAGCGTTAGCGTTTTCAGTAGCCTTCGGCGAGAGTATTAAGTAGCTTTCCTCTTCTAGACACCTTTCCCTTAGCACAAAAAATGTCTTCGCAAACCGACTCTCAGAACATCTCGAGGGAGGCCCCGGTGCAATCTGAAAGCATTTCTGAGGTGGAGTCCTCAAGCGAGCAGCCTTCGAATATTGACGACTCGCGAGTGGCTGCCGAAGTCCAAAAGCGTCTCATAACCGAGGCCGAGGCCGAGGAGTTTGAGCAAGTGATTGAGGACGAGGAGATGGCCCTCGCGGTCCAAATTGCCGAGGAGGAAGAAGAGAAGGAGAGGATGAAAGTGACCATCGCTGTTCCTCCCCCTCGTAACGACGCCGGAGCGGGGAGTTCTAGGCCCCTGGATCCGGAGCCTCTCAATGTGGCTCCCGGGAAGAAGAAGAAGACGAGGGGGGCCTCGAAGAAGAAGCAAGCCGTCGCCGATGCGGGACAGCCCGTCGGGATTCCGGAGGGGCATTCATATTTGAACACCGCAGCTCTCGAAGTGGAAACCAAGGCCACGCACGCCGAATATATGGCGACGCAGTTCTTTGTTGGGCCTTCGGCACAAGTGGTAGAGCCGGGGCCAGATGATGTGCTCCTACGTCCCCCCGAAGGATGCTTTGTTGTGCACCTCCTATCTGTGGAGTTGGGGCTTCGGTTCCCACTCCACCCCTTCGTACTAGAGTATCTTCGTTTCGTCAAACTCGCTCCCTGCCAGATTACTCCGAACAGCCATTCATATCTGGCCGGATTCTTGTCTTTATGCCGGGAAAGGGGAGTGGAGGCATCGCTAGATCAGTTTCTCCTTTCTTTCAACCTTTGCCGGGGGGGGCATGCCAACAGCGAGGGCTTCGCTAATCTTCAACAGATTCCGGAGTGGAGGCTGTTCTCTGAGGTTCCTTCCTCCCATAAAGGTTGGAAGGACAAATTCTGCTTCATTCGGATGGAGGAGAATCCTTTCCCTGCTCCCCTTCGTGACAATTTCAAGAGGCACCCTAAAGTGGGGAATGCTTTTCTTGCGAAGGAGGGGAAGAAGCTGGTAGCCAAACCGGAGGGATCGGACAAGCAGAAGACAATCAAGGATGCCACCCTTCCGGAGGAGCTGCTTCGCCTTGGTTTCCGGCGATTCCGATTGATGGGGGAGACCGGCGGCGAATACCCCCCGATAGATAGAGTGTATGAGAGCGCCGGAGGTGATTGCCGAAGGGTCCTTATCTTGTACTTAGGATATTCTTGTGCCTTTTGCTATGTAACTTATTTTTGCACATTTTCCTTCTTTTCAGGCGCAGAGATGGACGCGAAGAACTTCGCGAAGCTCAAGAAGCAATTGGCCAAGGAGCCGAAGAAAAAGAAGGAGGGAGGACCCTCCCAGCAAAGGCCCGTTGAAGATTTTTTCCCGAAAGGGGAAGCCGTGAAGGACCAGGGGGCCGAGGGGGCCTCCCAAGTTGTTGTCGGGGGTGCCGGTGCCCTGAAAATTGAAACCGCCAAGCGAAAGGCCCCGGAAAAAGGGGTCGAGGCCCCCGGGAAAAAGGTTAAGAAGGCTGTCGGCGCAAAGGGGGCACCAGTGGTAATTTCTGAGGGCCATTCCTCCTCCAGCACGCCGTTGGTGTTTGTTGCCGCTGCCCCCCTTCCGGATCAGATGGAAGATGGGCCATGGCCCCGGGAGAACGTCCAATTCTCCATCAAGAAAGGGACCGCCATTCTGCACGGCACCCTGGATCCGAAGGAGTTCTTGGATGGGGCCACTCCTTCGCTGGATAGATCGACCCTGAGCCGGTACGACGACGCTGCCCTGGACGCTAAGCTCCTCCAGGCCTCGGTGACTGTAAGTCTTGATATTCTCTCTTCCCTTAGCCTTTTGTCCCTAGTTTTTTTTTTGCAGAGGTCTGATCCTTCGTTTCTTTTTTGTGTCTACAGGCCAGTGTAGCCCTCGGAGAACACGTCCGGAGGGCGGAACAATTACGCCTCCAGAAGGCGGAGTCCGACGAGGCCCTGAGGAAGCTCGTCGTGACTAACACCGAGGCCATCCGGAAGATGGCAATCCTGGAGGAGAGCCTCCGGCAGATGGAGAAGAAGCTGGAGGTTGCCCGAATGGAGGGCAAAGCCGAAGGCAAGGCGGAGGCCGAGACGCTCGCTGCTGCCGCCGCAAAGACCGCTGCTGACAATGCCGAGGAAGCAAAGCGGGTGGCCATCCTTCAGGCCGAGAAAGATGCTGTCGTTGCCTTTGTCGCCGGGGGCTGGAAAGATGAGGACCGGAGGCAGTGGGTTTCCTCGGTGGTTGAGGAAAGTGTCGATGACTGGGTGGGTGGTCCCGGGGCGATGTGGCTGGCCCGGAAGGGCAAGAGCTATTATGAGGGCGGTGAATACTTCACCCAGGCCAATATCTATAGGAAGCTTGCCCGGCACTTCGGCGCTGATCTGAAGGACTTTAAACCTGAGGCTTATGGCCTCCCCCCGCTCCAACCAGATGTCCGGGGTCCCTTTGCCGGAGGGCGAAGAGAGGGAGCTGCTCGAAGACTCTGAACTGGCGAAGGAGGCCGAAGATGATGAGGATGAAGGGGCCGGGGACGACGCTGCCTCGAAGGCCAAGGAGGACGTAGCTGAGGAAGCTCAATCTTGAAAATTGTCTAAGTATCATTCCTTGTAATAGTTGATAGGTCTTCGGCTTCGGCCATGCATTGTAATGAAACGCGACTTTTGTACTTTAACACTTTCCTCCGCTGGATGTATGATATGCCTTCGGGCTCTTTTATGTGAATGCTTCCTTCATTTTGAGTTAGAATGTATGCTTCCGCCTTACTTCCTTTTGTTTGTATGCTCTCCCTTCTTTGAATGAATGCATGTGTTCCCGGAGGCCACAAGTTTGTGGACTTAGAAAAATTTTTCTAAGTGTAACTCCTTGCTAGCCCCCGGTTGTGGTGTAGTATCGCCGGGGGGTCGCTGCTGCGGACTTAGAGCATGTTATAAGCACAACCCGATCAGAACCCTTCGGGTGTATGGTAGGACCGAGGGATAAAATGAATTAGACTTAGGAAAATTCCCAAGTGAAATTGTATCATGCGCCCCCGGCAATGTTGGGCCTTGATCAGCAGTGTAGTCCACGGCCGCGAGCCAAAGGGTTCGCAGTTGTGGGCTTAGTCAGATTTCCACAATATTCCAATAGTTGCGTGGTGAACCCTCCGGTATGAGAACTGCTCTGAGCCCCCGGTACATATGGTTGCCGAGGGGTTCGAGATTATGGACTTAGTGAAATTCTGAGGTGTGTCTCCCATAGAGTGACCCTTCGGTTGATGAGTCTGCTTCGAAGGGCACCAAATTGTCATCAGTGAGTGAGTTTGGTAGTATTCCGCCTTCGTCGGTATGAACCCTCCGGTTTGTGTAGGTATAGATTTAGCTTGCCTTAGAACTTTGTGGAGCCTTCGGTATGTCACGTAGTTGACTTTGATCCAACCGAATTTCGGCCTTAGCCAAATTTAGGTGAAGTTTTGCTTAGCGAGCTCTATTCTTGGGCTTCCGGAAAAACCGTTGTACTCCAAGGCTTTATGTAGGGGAGCCTTCGGCTATGTAGCCAGATGACTGATTGTAGAGAGATTTTCTTGTGCCTTTGTAGGAGCCTTCGGGAATGTATGTCCGAAGTGTTGAGCCTCCGGGGAGAATAGTATCCGGGGAGTTCCTTCCCCCCTACACATCTCTTTTTTTTTTTTTTTTTTTTTTTTTTTTTTTTTTTTTTTTTTTTTTTTTTTTTAGGATGGTGTAGGAGGGGCATCTAGAAACTTGGTTTCTAGGAAAGGCTTGGCCTATATGGGAGGCAACGGAATAAACCGTTGGCTCCCCCTTCGGGAATGACCTTCCGATATCCCGAAGGGTTTGAGGGTCGTTTCCTCGGCCCGAGACATCGTCTGTTGCCTGCTTCCCCTTGGGAGATAGCACGGAAAGCGCCTCGGTTTTGAAAGTCGTCCCCTCAGCCCGAGACATGGTCTGTTGCCTGCTTCCCCTTGGGGGATAGCGCGGGGAGCGTTTCGTTTGTGGAAGTCGAATCCTGGGCCCGGGACATGGTCCGTTGCCTGCCTCCCCTTGGGGGATGGCGCGGAAAGCGTTCCTGGGAAGGGTTTTATTTGCGTGTGGAACACAAATAGCCGGGGGCACTTGGTACCAGCCGGAGCCGAGGGGGGTTGCACCCCTCGGTTTTCTTTTTTTTTTTTTTTTTTTTTTTTTTTTTTTTTTTTTTAAGAAGAGTATGTAAAAGTATGCATAGTGTATGCATGATTGCGTCCTCGTGGGGTACGGCTTAGTGAGAAAACACTTGGTGTTTTCAAAGGGTGATGGGGGTGACCCATATACTTGGTACTTGGTACCTAAATTGTTGTTCCCCCTCATAAGAGGGAGTGGCCTTGGGCCTTTCATGGTGAAGAGATGAGGGCTTGGCCACTCATTTGTAGGAGAGAAGGGGGGCCTTGGGCCGCTTGTACAGTATGTAGGTGATGAAGGCTTGGCCTTTTGATTATTCTTCAAAAAACAGATGGGGCCTTGGGCCATTGATATTTACACTTGCTGAGGATGAGGGCTTGGCCGCTCATGCCTTATTGATAGAATTTGACAAGGTGGTGCACATTCCAATGTCTAGGGACCTCCGTCCCATTGGGGCGTTTAAGCTTGTATGTCCCTGGTTTGATGATGGCTGAGATGATGTAGGGGCCTTCAAACTTGGGCGCCATCTTTCCCCCTTCGGTGGGTAGACTGGCCTCCCTTCGTCGGAGGACGTAGTCTCCCACCTGGAATTCTCGGGAGCGGACCTTGGCGTCGATGTAGCCTTTGACTTGTCTCCTATAGTTTTCGGCCCTGAGGAAAGCTTGCTCTCGGCGTTCTGAGATGAGATGAAGGTCGAGGGCCATGTTGGCGTCGTTGACCTCGGGCTCATATTGTTCCACCCTTCGGGTCGGAAGGGTCACTTCTGTTGGAGCCTTAGCCTCAAAGCCATAGCATAGGGAGAAGGGTGTCTCACCTGTTGCACGCCGAGGGGTAGTGCGGTAGGCCCATAGGATGTTATGGAGCTCTTCTACCCATCCTCCCCCTTCGGCTTCCAGCTTCTTCTTCAACCCTTCGAGGAGGGTGCGGTTGGCATTCTCTACTTGCCCGTTGCCCTGAGGGTAGGCAACGGAAGAGAATGTGTGCTTGATGCCCCATGCCTCCAGGAGGGCACAGAAGGGGGCTGCCTCGAACTGAGTCCCGTTGTCGGAGATAATTTGTTGGGGGACGCCAAACCTTGTGAGAATATTTTTGAGAACAAAGTGGCGGCACCGGGCTTCAGTAATGCTGGCGAGGGGCTCCGCCTCTACCCATTTGGTGAAGTAGTCAATGGCCACAATGATATACCTGTTGTTGGAGGTACCCCTCGGCAGTGGGCCTACTAAGTCGATCCCCCATCTGGAGAAGGGTATAGCGGTGCTGATGGGAGCATAGTTGACCGCTGGTCTGCCTGGGGCCTTCTGAAAGTGTTGGCAAGCGGTGCACCTTCGGGCTAGATCAGCACAATCCCTAGCCATTGTGGGCCAGAAGTAGCCTTGAACTATGAGCCTTCGGGACATGGAGAAGGGTCCCTGGTGAGCTGAGCAAGTGCCACTGTGCACTTCCTCCATAGCGACTTCGGCTTCACCTTGATGAAGGCACCGAAGGAGGGTGCCGTTGTAAGATCTTTTGTAAAGCCTTCCGTTCTCGAGGGTGTAGCTGGGAGCCCTCAGTTTTGTCAATCTCGCGCGGGCCTCATCTTGGGGTAGTTGCCCCGTGGTGATGAAGGTGGCGATGTCGGAGATCCAATCCTCCGGTCTCAGGTTTATGTTCATAATGGGGCTTGCGTGGATGCTTGAGAGGCTGAGCTCCTCGATTCTTGCAATTTTTGAGAGGTGCTCGGGGGACTCATCTGAGAGTTTGGATAGAATGTCGGCCTCAGAGTTTTGAGCCCTCGGTATTTGGGTGAGGGAATGTGCCTCAAATACCTTAAGCAACTCCTTAGCCGCTTCTTTGTACTGTTTCATCCTCCCTTCTTTGGCTTCGTACTCTCCGGAAATTTGACCCACGACGAGTTTGGAGTCACACTTGACGTGGATCATCTTAGCCTTCAGATTCGCTGCCAGCCGAAGGCCGCAAAGGAGGGCTTCGTATTCGGCTTCATTGTTTGATACTTTGAAGGAGAAGCGGACGGCATAATAGGCGCGGAAGCCTTCGGGTGTGATCAGAACCACTCCTCCTCCGCATGCTTTGGTGGCCGAGGAGCCATCGGTATAGAGCGTCCACCACTCATCGAGGGGTGTCGAAGGCTCCTCGTCCACCGCTGATCTTGCGGTGCATTCCGTTACGAAGTCTGCCAGGGCTTGGCCCTTAATGGCAGGCCTCGGACGGATGTCTATGTTGTATTGGCTGAGGAAGATGGCCCATTTTACCATCCGGGAGGAACTAGTGGGACTTCTCATGAGGGCGCCGAGGGGTTGATGAGTGAGCACTTGGACCGGATGAGCTTGAAAGTAGTGGCCAAGCTTCTTGACGGTCCAAACGATGGCTAGCACCGTCTTCTCGACGGGAGAATACCTGAGTTCGGCCTCCCGGAGGGTTTTGCTGACGTAGAAGACGGCATGTTGGATGCCGTCTTCCTCTCGGATCAGTACTGAGCTGATAGCCGCAGGGCTGACACCGAGATACAAATATAAAGTCTCCCCCGCCTTTGGTTTGGAGAGCACTGGGGGAGAGGAGAGGTACTTCTTAAGTTCGTCGAAGGCCTCTTGACACTCAGATGTCCATTGGAAGCCAGCTGTCTTCCTCATGATTTGGAAGAATGGGAGGGCCCTCTCGGCTGACTTAGAGAGGAATCGGTTGAGGGCCGCCAGGCGACCCGTCAACCGTTGAACTTCTTTGACGTTGCGCGGAGGCTCCATATTGATGATGGCCTGAATTTTCTCGGGGTTGGCCTCGATACCCCTTCGGCTTACCATATAGCCCAAGAACTTTCCACCTTGTACGCCGAAGGTGCATTTCTTTGGATTCAATCGGAGGTTGAATTTTTGCATGATGGCGAAGATTTCCTGGAGGTCCTCGGCGTGAGTGCTGGCCTTCTTGCTCTTGACAATCATATCGTCAACATAGGCCTCCATAGTGCGCCCCAAGACAGCTTGAAAGACCCTGGCCACCATTCGAGTGTAGGTGGCGCCTGAATTCTTGAGGCCGAAGGCCATCACGAGGTAGCAGAAGATGCCTTCGGGTGTCATGAAGGCAGTTTTTTCAGCGTCTTCTTCATGCATATAGATTTGATGATACCCGCGGAATGCGTCGAGGAAGGACATGATTTCGCATCCCGCGGTCTCATCCACCAGTTGATCAATGTTTGGCAGAGGGAAGGGGTCCATAGGGCACGCCTTATTCAGATCAGTGTAGTCCACGCACATGCGGAAGGTAGGAGGCTTCTGTGCAAGGACTACATTTGCTAACCAAGAGGGGTATTTCACCTCCTTGATATGTTTGATGGAGAGGAGCATGGCTACCTCCTTCTTCACGAACTCCCTTCTCTCGGCCGAGAGGGGTCTTCTCCGCTGTTGTACTGGTTTGGCCGAAGGGTCCACCGCTAGGCGGTGGGTGATGACCCTTCGGTCAATTCCCGGCATATCCTCCGGCCCCCATGCAAAAACAATGGAGTAGGCGCGGAGGGCTTTGGTGATGCCAGCCTTCAAGTCTTCGGGGAGCTTGGCTCCAATCTTCAGGACTCTCTCCGGCTTGGCCGGATCGAGCATCAAGTCTTCGGTCTCCTCGGC